GCCCACGAAGTTGATTTTTGGGCTTTTTTTACTCTTCATCTCTATTGCAACATTGACAGTAGCATTTTGTGCTACTCTTTACGTGATGCTACGAGGTCAACGGAAGGAAGTCATTCCAATAACTGTGCTTGCTGGTATTCCTATCATGTGCTTTGTGTTGTTGCAGTTTCCTCTTCTTGTTGAGATTATTGCTTTAACTCTTAGGCCAGCCATCTTTGATAGAAAAACTGCAACAGCACAGTGGGTTGAGTGGCTGGGCGATAATGTTCCCATCCTTCCATTTGTGGTAGACGCAGTGATCTATATAAAGTACCGACTGATCAACTATCTAGGACGCAGAAACCGGTAGTCATAGTTAAGTGTATTTTTTGTTTTTTAGCTATGTGGAGCAATAATACGACTCTAGTCTATATATTTTCTAGTTGGAATAAATACTTGGTGGATCGATGTATTTTCCAGATTTCGAAGTCAAATTCTTCTTTGCAAATTGCATTTTTATTGCTAATTCATTTTCCACCTAAGTTCAATAATTATATAATTATAAGTTTTGTATATTTAAATTTAGAGACATCAATAAACATAACAGACATCACTTAGAGCATGATTTTGCAGAGCTTTTAAGTAATTAACTTCCTTAAAAGCCATTTGCTGTCTCGTAAATTTCTAGTTTCTTTTGGAAGAAAAATTTTAGTATGGCTTATGGTCAAATTTTGTAAAAGCACGATTGCAAAAAGCACACCTCGATTCCGCTTAGGCTCTAGGTGGTGGTTGGCCACTTTGCCTAGACAGCTAGGAACCTAGGGCTTTTTGCAACAATTTTTTTAACCGTATGAGATGTTTTTAGGCTCAATGCATCAACCCAATCCATTTTTACAACGTCAATTATTATTGTGGTGTAATCGTGATAACTTTTTTAAAAAGAATAATAATATTTAAAAATTTAAAATTTAAGTCATAATAATTTTTATTTTCAATCTCTCAATTGTATTATTAGTTCAAAAAAAATCCATCTTTGCAATACTTCTTAAACATTAGGATAAATTTTTAGACCCAACAACCTTTTTTTTGGTACGTAAGTATTATATAAGGTCTCACATTTTCATTGAATTTGCAATTGAGATCTTAAAGTTTTATTATGCTCAATTAATATCCTTAAGTCGTCAAAATTTTCAAATAAAATCTTAATTGGAATAGAAATTGTAATTGTAAGGTTTGTTAAATTAGTCACTGATACAATTAACTTTAATTGGTTAAATATCCAAAATGGTTCATAGCTTTTTTATTTTATCTTTCAATAACACTAAAAGTCTAAAACTTTCAATAATCTCGAAATATATATGTTACAATTGTGACTTTATATGAGTACAATAAAACTTTGAGATCTCAAGTTTAATACCTTATTCAATACTTAAGCTCTTTTAAAAAAAAAAAAAAATTTTTTTCCATTTATTTACAAACAAAAAGAAAATAGAAAAAATACCTTGTCGCCTAGTTAGCGCATTGCCTAAGCTTGCCTAGGTACTGAGTACGTAATCTCTCAACACCTACCATTGTCTGGCACATTTTGCAACAGTGTGGGAAATTAATGGCACAAATTTTTTTATAACTTACTGTCATAAGTCCCTTTAAAAATTACATTCAAAATTTCTTACAAATTTATGAGAAAGCAATTACCGTCTAAACAAACTTACTTGAAAGCTCTGCGAAACCGAAACATGCCCTTAACCTTGTAACTCAAAGCTAGAGTTGCATGACCAAATCCCCTCCGCTCCTCCCTCCCCCAGAATGAAAAAGAAAAAGAAAAAGAACAAAAATCTCTAGTGATTTACATAGGAAGAAGGTTTTCTTTCTTTTTGTCTTTCTTTTTTTTCTTTTTTGTCAAACTTTCTATTTATATTTTATATATTATTTTTTTCAACTATTAACAACTTTAATAATTTTTTTCACAGTTAACACCCTTTATTTTTCAAAATATGCTAAAAACCCAAACTTTTACAGTAAAAGCACATGACGATTATCCTCCGTCACACACCTGGCGTTGTAAGTCGCTTGATAATTGTGTGTATCACCTAACTCATGGGACTAGATTCAATCCCCCTATCCCCAAAAATTGCCCTGGATCAAAAAAAAAAAAAAAAAAAAAA